AATGTGCAATAATGGCCAGTGGTGGGATTCAGCCAGTTCGCACCACTTCGGGAGAACCGGCTGTTCACTTTCTGAGCAGTTTGGTGAACTGGCTGTTGGAAGAAGTCATTAGGGCAGAGAACCGGTTGTTCAATTATTTGAATCCCACCACTGGCCATTATTGCACATTTTAAAACAATAAGGTGAACAGACTCAGTAGAGGTCAACCATCCTTCAGCATTGGTCTCTTAATCCGGGACTGACAGGAGCCATAATTCCACCCTAAGAGAAGTGCCGTCAATTTCCTAGCCTGACATGGACATGTTCTAACCGTAGCATCTGAGGTCATAGGAAGAGAAAGAAGGGGGCCAGGTCTGAAGCTGCACCTTGCCTACTGCTTGCCCTGGAACAAACAGGCCTCACCTGCACCTCCTGCTGCTTCTCTTCTTGCTGCCGCAAAATGAAGCCTTCGGCCAGGGCCACTGCTTGGGCACAGGTCTCTGGGCTACGTTCCCTGACCTGGTTCTGGATGTCCTGAGGCAAGACGGTCAAGAACTGCTCTAAAATCAGCAGCTCGACAATTTGCTCTTTGGTGCGGCGCTCTGGCTCCAGCCAGCAATGGCAGAGCTCCCGCAGGCGGCCACAGACCTCCCGAGGCCCCTCGGCTTCCTGGTAACAGAATTGCCTGAAGCGCAGGCGGTGTAGCTCCGTGCTGGGCAAGTTTTCGTGCAGGAAGATGGCCTTGACTTTCCCACAGGCTTTTTTGCCTCTAGCGCTCTTGCCGCTCAGCGCTTGCTGGCCTTCTGCCCTGAATGCCGGCTTCAGCGTGGTCACCCCGTCACCTCTAGGCCACTGACGGACTCCAAACACTCTCTCAAAAGTGATCAAGTCATCCCAAGAAGTCATATCTGGGAGGCCTGGGCTGCTCCATACCATGGCCGGAGAAGGAAGAGCCTTCAGGTATTCCCACCACTGGGTAGGCATGTTCTCTGGCTGTAACATTGCTCCATGGGGTAGTTCCCATCTGATCCTTGGCTGAATAGCAAAACGCTCCCTCCCTGCTTGTTCTGATGTCTCTGTTGATCCCAGCCCTGCCGGCACCTTCTCCATTTTCTGTACCAGGGACACCTCCTTGTCAAATGTTGCCTGAACCTCTACCTCATACACTTAGTTTGTCACACACCTATGTACTCAAATCAGGTATTTTATCTTGCTGGGGATATTTCCAAATTCATGCTTATCCCTTCCCCCACCCCCTAACCTCCATTATTGTCTTGCTATTTTGGGAGCCTCCCCTATTTTCACGCCCTTGCCCTCCTGTGCTATTGAATCCACCCAAAGGGCGCTAAAAAAAACAACTCCACACAACTGTGGGCTTGATGCCAGGAGGGAAGGCCTATCGGTGACCAGCTCAGAGTTCTAGTCCAATTATCTGGAGCTTCTTCCTGGAAAGAAACAGACATAAAACACCTTTTATAAATTTTGTCTCCTCTTTTTCCCCAAAGAGCTTGGGACTGTGTACATAAACCTTTTGAGTTTCTTCTTTAAAAAAAATTGGGACAGGTGAAGTTGAGGATGGTTGATCACTCATTTCAGGACCTTCTCTTGAACAAACTGACCAACTGTATTTAAATATGGCAGAGACTAGGCCTGTAATGGCAAACTAATGGCACCCACGCCACAGGTGGCACACAGGGCCATATTTGCTGGCATGCCAGTCATCAGCTCTGGTGCACATGGGTTCACTGGCCAGCCTGATTTTTTTGTTTTCTGGAAGGCCGTGGGAGGCTGTTTTCACTCTCCCCAGGCTTCAGGAAAGCCTCCGGAAGCTGTGGAGGATGAAAAACGGCCCCAATGGGCCAACCAGAAGTTTGTTCCTGAACTTCAGATTGTCCTGTTGGACCTGTTTTTCACCCTCCAGAGTCTTCGGAGGCTTTCCTAAAGCCTGGGGAGGGCGAAAATGGCCTTCCACGGCCCTCTGAAAACCGTTTTCACATATGTGCGGGGAAGGATTGAATCGGTATGGGCAGCGCACACACACACAGTTTTGGCACGCCATAAGAAAAAGGTTCGCCATCACTGCTCTAGGCCATATGGCACACACTCCCAGATATACATGACATATCATCATATAATATTATATTATATAATATACATATAATTATGCAGAATTAAAAGGATTGCAGAATCCCATGGTCACCATTTTGTGACCTTTGCTGATGGCTTCTGTCAAGCACAGTCAATGGGGAAACCAGCAGGAAGTCACAAGTTGTGATCAAGTGATACGACTCAACAACTGTTATTCATTCACTTCATGACCCATAACGACAACTGCCAGCATAAACCACTACAGTCACATGATTTTTCTGGTTTATGACCGTGCTGGTGGTTAGAGATGCAGTTTCTAATCCCAGTTATGTTCATTAATTGAGGAATATCTCCTGACATACTGCATATATATAGTCCTCGACTTACCATCATAACTGAGCCCAACATTTATGTTGCTAAGCAAGATGGTTTTTAAGTGAATTTTGGCCCATTTGACAACCAGGAGACTGGGATTTTTGGTCCTGCCTTAGCCAAAAGCCAGTTGAGTGACCTTGGACCAGCCATTCCATTTCAGCCCTAGGAAGCAGCCAAGGGCAAACCACTTCTGAAATCTGGCTAATACAAGTGCAGGGACTAGCCCAGGTGGTCACCAGGAGTGACACAGTTTCTGCCAGAAGATGTCAATTTTGGGCTGAGAATAAGGAACACCTTAATTTCATTGAATTTATGCATCCGTGTAACAGTCCTACCTTTCTCCTGTACAAGCAGATTTACAGCTCTCCATCTATGTACTGTGGGAAGGACATTTCTTTCATCAGTACGATGTATCTTTCCTTCAGTTTTCAGAAAAGCACATGATATTTTCAAGTGACATTTTCATCAAATATTCTGGTCAGACCCTGTGCTTTGATAACCAAAGAGAGTGAACTACTATGAGTGGTTTCTGTCATTTCTGATAAGGCTTTCACATCTGATTAGTTATCTAAGAGTTTGAGACCAGCTCTGTAAACAGAATAACAGAAGACTTGGAGTCCAACCCCCCCACTGCTCAAACAGGAGACCCTATCCCACTTGAGACAAAGGGCTGTCCAGTCTCTTCTTAAAAACCTCCAGTGGTGGAGCACCCACAACTTCTGGAGGCAAGTCATTCTCATTGTCAGAAAATTTCTTCTTAGTCCTAAATTGGATCTCTCTTTGATAAGTTTCCATCCATTGCTTCTTCTTCTGCCTTCAGGCCAGAGGTGGTATTCAGCCTGTTCGGAACAGTTCACCCGAACTGGTAGCGGAAATCGCGGGTGGGACTGCCCATCCGCCCAAGCTCTATGCCATCCTATTTAGGCATGTTTTTGAGGCAGAAGGCATATGCATGAGCAAAGTGCATGTCCAGAAGGCCGGGCGCATGAGCAGAATGTGCATGAAGCAGGCAGGCACACGTGGGCGAACTGGTAGTAACAAAATGTGTAAACCACTGCTGCTTCAGGCTCTGTTTACTATGACATGGCCCACAAAGTTTTCCTGGCTGTTATTTTTAGTAAAAAGGCTCAGGGAACAAGGGAAAGATAAAACTCCATCCCTTCTCTTTCTAAACCCTTTGAACATCTACTACCCAAGGCTGACAGCACAGGCCTCCTCCAATCCAGTGCCTCCCAAAAGTTTTGACACATCAGCTCCAGTACCTTCTAGCCATAGCCGTGCTGGCTAAGGCTTATGGACCCTGAAGCATCAATGGTTCTGCAAGGTGTCCATTGGGATGAAAACACCCCAGAATCAGAACCTTTCAAGATTTAGTGAAAGGGAGGCCATCTGAACACTGTTTACACATTTTGTCTTTGAAAAATAGCTGGGCGCTCACATTTTAGGGAGCCTTTGTTGCGCTAAGTATCATCAAGAGACAAGCCCCATGTTAGGCCATTTGTACTTTATCTGTCTGTCTGTCTATCTAAATGGCTGTATGTGTGTGTTCCAGCATAACTCTGGAACGCCTTGAGCAATTTCAACCAAACTTGGTACATAGATGACTTACTCTCTGGAAACAAATACTGGGGGGGTAAGACACCTCTAACACCCCTCGGTGTGTGTGTTCTGTTAAAATATACAGCCTGTTGTGCCTTAAATAGCTTCTACTGTACTGCCTTAACATGGCTTCTACTTACAGTGCTGTGGAGTTGCCATGGTAATGGCTTCACAGTACTCCACAAGGGGGCTCCCTCTAGTAAGGGGAAAAATCCAACATTATGGAAGGAGGATTGGGATAAATAAATACCAGGGCAGCATCAGGTTATCAGCTAATTATTCTTATTATTTTCTGAGAGCAACACAGGAGAAGGGATGGGCTGACCAAATGCACAGATATATGCTCTCCCCTTCCACTTATGACAATGTGCATATGTTGGGGGGGGGGACACAAATATCAAGTATTCTTAATCAATACTTTATCACTTGGAGAATTTATTTCTTGGAGCCATCAGATGTGTGATGATGAGTGTTGCCTAAATATTTCCCTGGTGTTTGTGGTTTCCTTATTTAGGAATGGGTAAGCTATAATAGACTAAAAAAAACTACCGAGGTATGTTAACTAAAGAAGACACCAAGCGAAGGCTAAGTTCACAGAGCCCTTAAAATCCTTCTGTTTAGGGGGCTAACCCCCCCCCCCATCATGCATCACTCTCCTCTGACACCCTCAATCTACACAGGTATTAGAAAACGGGAAAAGTCAGTTGGAGAGATGGGGGGGGGCAGGATCCTGTGATGCTCCATCTCTATTTTCTCTCTCCTTCCCTCTCTCAATTATGAAGTCTGATTGATTTTTTCTCCTCTGGGAAGCTAGAGAACTTTGGATGGGGAAAAAAATGGCCTGATGGGACAAACTCCCCCCTCTCCAAATCCTGTGCCATTATTCAGTCCTGATTAACAAGACATGGGGAAAGTTCCCCCTTCCTTTCTTCACCATAAAACACAAAGCAAAAGTCTGGCATTTTGTTGTTGTCAAAAAAGAAGAGAAGGAAGAAGTGAAGCCCATGCTCCTTCCTTCCTCCTATCTATCTCCTTCCTTCCTCCCTTCATTTTCTTCCTCTCTTCTTCCTTCATTTCTCTTTCTTCTTTCCACATTTCTCTTCTTCCTTCTTCCCATTTCTCTCCTTCCTTCCTCATCTATTTCCTTCCTTCTTCCTTTCTTCTTCCTTTATTTCTCTCCTTCCTTTCCATATTTATCTCCTTCCTTCCACATTTATCTCCCTTCATTTATCTCCTTCCTTCCA